TTTGTGGTCGACCGCCAGTTTGGCAGTGGCCTGTGCATGTTTTGTGATACACTGTTTTAATTTTCGAGAGAGTTTCTTGATCTTATATTGTTATATTACGATGCTTAAGAGTTGTTTAACACCTGGGATGATGGTGAACACCAGATATGGACACACACACCGAGATATGTGCACGTACACTTAGTTTATTTTGTTTTGACACATGTTGAGTTGATGAAAGTGAATTAATATATGTTAAAGTATTGCTCATTAGTTATGGATGCTCAGTGTGGAGGTTTGTCCCGTAATGAGATTTCGATTGTACCACACTAGGAGTATTTGGATGTTTTTCTCGTAACGAGACCTTGGTTGTACCAAATACTTGAAGATGATCGGTGTATTTTTTGGGTTAGGCTGAGATGCCTATTCACCGTTGTACGAACATCTGTAAGCATATCCGGAAATAGGGAGATAAAACCTATTATCACTGGAGTAATGAGCATATCCAGAATTTGAGAGATAAAAATCTATTTGCCGTAAGGATGATTGAGTAAGGAGGATTGTATCTGATATCCACAAAGTATTTTGTGAGCCTTACAAAAGTATCGTTATTTTGTGCATTAGGAATAGGGAGATAAAACCTATTATCGCAGAGCGATTGAGTAAGGAGGACTGTATCTGATATCCGCATAGTATCGTGTGAGCCTTACGAAAGTATCGCTATTGTACGTGGAGATGTACACATATATATTTATCTTACAGTTGTAATTTTGCTTCCATGTTAGATTATCCATGAGTAGGGTACATCATTTGATAGATGGCATACATGATATAGCCCATGGTGTTTATGAGTTAGGAGATATTCTTTTATTATTGCGCCTCGAGGGTAGTTCGAGATGTGATATTGGTTCTATATAGTTGAGGTTTGGAGTATTTTCTTTTGAGTGTTGTTTTTATTTATAGAGTTGGAATTAGTATTTAAGGACTCACAATTTGAGACATATGATATACACATGAGGGTTTTCTTGTTTGGATTATTTTGCTCGACGTATCAGTCTCGTGTTGTGGGTTTCTAATTATTGATTTCTTTTACATTATTTATCTCTAGTTCGGTGTTAATATTTATGTATCTACAAATTGTGGTATATGGTATATACATGAGAGTTACCTTGTTTGGATTATTTCGCTCGATGTACTACGTCTTATTTTATAGGTGCCTAAATATTGATTCCATTAGATACGGGAAAAATGATCTAGGTAGACTATGCTTAATAGGTAGAGCCTCCACTTCATCTAGCAGCCCTTCTCCTGAGAGCGGATGGAGGTGATCTTGCTGTAGCGCTCTGACGCTCTTGTTGTTGTTGTTCTTTTTATTTACATTATCTCTTTCAGGCAGCTCAGAGTTTCAGAGAGTTGTAGGATGATGGAGTTCTAGCATAGTCGCTGTCGTACAGTCTTAGTATCTGAAGCTTCACTGTATAGTTACGTTCATTATTCAAACTTTAGAGTTGTATTCATTTTATAAAGACAGAGTGCCTTAGTATGAAATTTAGTTGATTTATGTTGAGACATTTTATTATTTCAGATATCAGATGTACTTTAGTTGAGACATGATTCTTTTATTTATGAGATCTCTCCTTCTATATCATGTATAGTGTTTTTACTTTCTCATTTTACCTGTTTTGTACCTTCACTTCTTATTGATTCTACTAGAGGATATTACTGTGATTGGTGAAACGTGTTAATGCACGTTGTGGATGCATGACAGGTTTGACAATTTAGGTTTCACCTTGGACCGTAACCTTGTGTGAATCCTGTGGCGTCACAGTTGGTATTAGAGCTCTAGTTCCAGCATCCTTAGAATTATCCTGTGTCGAGTCATGGAGCTAGGATAGAGTTTCCTAGTATTTATGTATATAGTCCGCTAGGAATTCCTAGAATGAGTGAGGACGTTATATATGAATATTTGAAAATTATAAAATTTTTATGACTATCTTACTTTGATTGAAAAGTATTTGCGTGAATACTATATGATACATTATGTTATGTATATATATTTGTGACCTCTTTGACTGTGTCTATTAAGCTCCCCTCTTGATATTATAAATGTCGGGATGAGGATGCGGTTGAGAGAAAACTCGTACCCGGAGAGCTAGGCAAGCAGAGCCCGAGCCACAACAGGCTCCACAGTATCTGATCGATTTCGTAACGCCGATCGCAGAAGCAGAGACTAGCAATACTCGAGGAGCGAGTAACGAGTAACATTATATTTTCTAGAGTTCTACTACCAGTTGAACCAGTCGTGTCTATTAAAGGGGCAATACTAATGATTACACCATCACCAACCAGCTGTTGATAGAGCCGTAGAGCAGAAGACTTAGCTCTATAAGAATAAAAAAGACATCAGACACTGAGAACATCATAGTTTCAGGGCGCACCGGATTTATGTGCAGCCTATAAATGGAAGAAATGTGTGAAGATTTCTTAACGTTGATTTAGTACTAAAGCAGAGTTAGATGTATTCAGTGTAGAGGATATCACCGGAGTATAGCATTGGATGATAGCACCAGAGGATGACACAGACTTTAGATTTTTGCCGGAGCAGCGGATACCGCTTATTTGGGAGAATTTTGTTTGCTTCCTTGATAAGTAGTAAAACTAGTCCGATTAAAGCAGGGAGATATGCATGTAGTTAATTATGGAATCATGACCAGTATGGCAATAACAAGGGCAAGAGACCTATTTCAGAATCTAGAGAGCCCCAACAGCCGGTTAAGGATTTTTACAGCCAGCAACAAGGACAACATAAGAAGAGAGCACAACCTACAATATGATTCGAGAGCATCGTAGCAACGTAGAATTCGATATACATGTTACAATTGTAACAAGATCGGACATAGAGCGAAGGATTGTCGCAGTACACCAGCAGGAGGCCAGCATGACAGAGGTCAGAACCAGTAGTCTCAGGGCCGCGATTACGACAAGCAGCAGAGGATTTAAGGCACCTCTAGTCGTCTCGAGGATTGAGGGGCTTATAGGCCAGATTCGTGCCATTCAGGGGATTCTTGAGGGACAGACAGTCCTATATGTTCCACCGCCATCAGCGTAGCAATCGCCAATCACCGGCAGGGTTTATGCAGTCGTACTGCATGATTATTATGCGAGCGAAGTTTTCTTAGTGATTTCCTTTCCAGCTCGGATCTTGTTGATTCAGAAGCTTCACATTCTTTTATCTATCATGATGTCATGATTAGACATCAGCTTGTAGAGCAACCTTTAGGCGTTTCATTATCAGTTTCTACTCCTTTAGGAGAGGTGTCTCTCTTAGAGAGTATCTATAGGAGATGTATCATCAGTTTAGACGAGTCTGAGTTTGTGGTTGATTTAATCGTCCTACGAATGTCCGATGTTTGATGTTATGCTTGTTATGGATTGATTATCATCCTACCACGTTAGTATAGACTATTTTGCAAAGACAATCAGCTTGTGAGCATTCAATGGGCTTGTATAGATAGTAGCAACCTCATAGGGTAACCAAAATATAGAGTCATTTCTGGCAGACGTCAAGGTGGTGATGATACGGGATCGGGGTACAGTTTTGAGCAAGACCAGAGTCATCTCAGAGTATCAGGATATCTTTCAGGACATACCGAGATTTTCTCCAGTGAGAGAGATTATTTTCCTACATCGAGTTACAGCAGACACCGTACCAATATTCCGAGCATCCTATCATATGGTACCCGCTGAGATGATGGAGCTATAAACTCAGCTAGATGAGTTGTTAACTCAGGGTTTTATTTGTTAGAGTCATTTTCATGAGCACCGATCCTCTTTGCGGAGAAGAACACTAGTAGAAAATCGTTTATTCTAGACAGAATATTCTAGACGGAAAATTTTCCGTCTAGTTTGTATTAAATTAGACGGAAAATTTCCGTCTAGAATATTCCGTCTAGAATAAAATATTCTAGACGAAAATTTCCGTCTAAAATAGTATTCTAGACGATTTTTATATTTTTAATTTTTTTAATATAACTAGGCATTCTAGACGGAAATTTCCGTCTAGGATACATTCTAGACGGAAATTTTCGTCTAGAATGTTTTGACTCGTATTAAAAAAATAAACACCAAATCCCTCCCTCCAAAATTGAAATTCCCCCTCCCAACCCAAAAGCTCCGCCCAAAATAACATTAAGAAACCCTCCCAAATTGAAATCCCCCCCCCCCCCAATCGAAATTCCTTCCCTCTTCTTCAACCTCTGGCCCTCCTCGCCTTTCGTCCCTTCACAAGGGCTATGGCCTCGCCTGTACAGCCACTTCTTCGTCAGAGCCGCAACGCTTCGCGCGACGGAGACGAGGACTACAATCGTCACTGCCTTCTCCACCTTCTCCCTGGATCCCACCCCCCTACTCGGCGCCGCTCCGCCTCCTCATCGCGGCCACCTCGCGAGCGCGTGAGGATCCCAACGAGCAGAGCGCGGGTGAGCGCCCGCGGCAACGGCACGGACGTGACACGAGCATCTTGTCGAGGCGAGATGGGAGAGAGTGTGTCGTGGCCCGTGGATGGCACCATGGCGGCGGAGTCCCCAGCGAGGGATGTCGATGCCGGCGGCGTCGAGGTGGACGGCGGCGGGGTAGTCGTAGGCGGTGACCATGGTGATGGGTTCGCCGTGCTTGTGTTTATTGTGGAGGTGAGCCAGGGTTACTCAAATTTTCCTCTGATTTTGAGTAAAATAGGAGTTAGGGATTGTTTTGGGGGGTAATGACGAAGAAATTGGGAAGCAGGAGTAGAATTATAGACCTAAAAGAACAATAATTTGGATCCTGATTGAATAAAAGGTGTGGGGGAAAAGTAAAAGCTTTCAATTTGTAGCTTAGTTTACTTCTAATGTGAAGATGAACGCAGCTGTGGAATTTCACTTGTAGCCTTAGGAAGCTCATATAGAGTTTAAAATTCATTTGTGCTGCTTATTGACCCGCCCATGCTGAAACCAAGCGAATTGTTGGAGTGCATATGGAATTTATATCATCAATTTGGTTTTCCATGATCTTTAATCTTGTAATAATGGCAAAACTACTTTATCATTTGCTATTTTCTTTAACCTAGGTTTAGAAATAAAAATATTTGTTGGATAAATGAAAATGAGAGCTAATATTTGTATCTTCCTGTAGAAAGATCTATCTGTTTAAGTCACTAGAGTGGAAAAGCATTACAAAAGAAGATAGCGAGACACCTAAAAAACTTTGACTAGAAATAGAAACTTCTGCATTAAATGGAAAAAGAAGCTCTTACAAAAGAAGAATGTCTTCCTGAAAGAAAAGAGTTTTCTTTTTTTTAACCTTAATTGGTCCTCCTACTGCTCTAAGCAGCATTGTAAAGCTACAGGCATGTAGTAATGTAGCTCATCCTCTTTCTGCACACAAGTTTCAGTGAGTACCAATAGATTTATGAACTTCGCAACTAAACTTTTCATTTGTTTGGGAAAGAGAAAAATGTTTGGTCCAGTAATTTATCTTCGTATTAGTTTACCTAGAAACTAGAGTTTGATCGCTAAGAAAATAGTCTGTTATTATAATATTTCTTTTTTACAAACTGGTGTTAGTAGTTCCATTGTTTTGTCATTTCATTAGATATGTAAAATCAGTAAACATATTGTAGTGGCACATTATAGTTACCATAATTTTCTAACACACCAAGTGTTCTGACAGCTTTTTTTTTAAAATTTAGATGCTACCTCTGATATATTTCTTTCTTTCTTGCAGATGATATTCTGATGCCGTCATGGTTTGACATTCATGATATTCCTATAACTGTTGTAAGTAACACTCCCACAATTGCATCTTCATTTTTTGGAATGTCATCCAATTACTAATCAGAAGTAAACATCTCCTTACATATAAACTATGCCTACTTCTCTTTGGAGGATCACGCAATATATGATTCAAATGAGTAGACAATAGTACCTCACTTATGCTTTAGTAATATGTGCTTGTTTCAAGCAACACACAAACTTTCTACTCATAGGATTTGTGTACTTTAGGAATCGCCAAAAGATGAAAAGGGAGTTCTTGAAGCTGTTCAAAATGTGCATGGTTTGATTGACAAGGAGGTAGCTGCTGGCATAAGTCTGAGCTGATGATGGTTTTGGTAGGTGCCTTGACCTTAGCAAGTGTATTGCTCTATCCTAAAACATTGGGGGGTAGTGCAGTTTTTAGTGGATGGGTTCCTTTTAATTCTTCAATCATGGATCGCATTTCTCCTGAAGCAAGAAAGGTACTTCACGTCTATGAGTATTTATACATGATTTGTATCTTAAAGTGTCAAGACTCACAAAATTGAGTCAACAAACATCCTTCCTCTTAATGATCCTGGCATACCTCATAATTTACTAATGCTAGTTGAGTTTCAGTATTACAGCATGTTTTTTTTTTATTTCAGAATCATAATAACTGTGACCTGCTATTCAATCAGGATGATTGTACCATCTATCTCACAAACACATCCACAGTATGCGTGCACAAACACATGCAAAGACAAGAACAAACATATGCAAGATTTACATACATGAAGATAGTGTAATATGGTGAAGTTATGAAACACAATTTTGATGGGAATTGAAGTGAGGCTATCATTATAAAACTAGGCTGGTTGCCCAGTGTAGGCTGTCTAAAAAATCACAATGGATAGCTGATCCCTATTAAGCTCCGACAATGGAAGTCACAATCAGACGACTTTCTAATCACTGTATTCGCAATTCTACAATCGCTACAAACACGGCCTCATTTCTAAGATGATTGATCTTGATGGTTGCGACAACAACATGACTAATATTATATTAGCAACTATTAGAGATGCTGATGAGCAGTGTAATGATTTCAGAAATAAAAGGTCGGACGTAGTTGGTGAGTTGCTTGGTAGAGAGCTGTGGGCAAATATTCATCTAAAAACACTATGGATGTTGATTCCCGTCAGGTTCCAACAACGAAAGCTACAATCAAATAGCTTTCGCACCGACAATCGAAAGCTGCAGATGGAGGACTTTTCACATAGATCGAGGAGAGTTACAATTCAACGACACTTCCGACAACTGATGAAAACTCTATTCCGCAGTCTTCATAATCTACAGTGAAAGTCACAATCGGACGACTTTCACATTCCACAACAGCTAAAGCTAGGATTACTGAACAACGGTCCATGCAACGCTTTACAGAAGAAGGTACAAGTCAACTAGCTTCTTCTAAAACGCGGATGTCATCCCCGCGTCACAATTCTGAAAGTGCAGGCGACCCCCGCGTTTCCAAGCACAATTCTAAACGTGAGCGACCCTCGCGTTCGTAGGGTTTCAACCAACACCGACCCCCGCGTTTCGAAGCTACAACAAACCCAAACGCGAGCGACCCTCGCGTTCATTAGTGTTCAGCCAACACGCAACCCCGCGTCTCAATTCTAAGAGGCGACGTTGGGTTCTGAACGCCAGATTAGGCGTTTGACTCGTTCGAATACGAGTCGAACGGTTTCAGAACTGTTTCCCCACGATTTGAGGAAATCACGCCCACTTGGGAGCGGATTTAGAGGGCAGTTACAACCTCTTATCCACCTATAAAATCTCAACAAACTCAACTGAGTTAAGGGCTGGCTGGCTTTTTGGTACGAAGAAGCAGCAAGTTAGTTCTGGAGGATCTCAACCACTCAGGTTCGGTGATTCAACAGCAGCAGCAGTAAAAATCCTTGGAGATAGGATTTTTGAATGAAATTCAGAAGATCAAAACAGAAGGAATTCTTCAACAACAGAAAATCTGCTTGGTCATTAACCGAATTTTCGGTTCTAACAACTCTATTCACAGAGTTCTAACTCGTTCAGAGTTCTTAAACTCATTCAGAGTTATTCATTAAACTTTTCACAGAAGTTCATTGTTCCCACGAGATAGAAGACGGTCGGATCGTCAACGGAGAGCAAATTCGACGCCATCTATCTCACAAACACATCCACAGTATGCGTGCACAAACACATGCAAAGACAAGGACAAACACATGCAAGATTTACATACATGAAGATAGTGTAATATGGTGAAGTTATGAAACACAATTTTGATGGGAATTGAAGTGAGGCTATCATTATAAAACTAGGCTGGTTGCCCAGATATAACCCTCTTTTTTTTTTTGCTCAGTGAAAGTAGCACTATAGATCACAATTATGGAAGTGAGTCTGTAATTGATTGGATAAGCATATAGTTGAATGCTAACGTACATATGAATGATGGATTAGAATACACTTTAGTAAAGTTGAAAGCTATCTGCTACATGTCAAAGAAAATATAGATAAAATCCCACAGTCCAGTGTAGAACTGGTTGGAGGTATAAAAACCCAGAACCTAGAAGTCACTCCTTTGCTTAATCCCCCCTAACATACTCATACACATAAGAAAGAAAGAAAATGCAGTAGATTATAATCTAACAACCGTTCACTTGAAATGCATTTAATGGAGTAGACATAATTGTTGGTTCATTTCCAGTGCTTTGTTGTTGATCTGCTATGTTTATGTTTAAATTTGTTTTCTTTGACTGAACATGTAACATGGCAATATGGATCAGTTTGTACATATATTGATCAGTTTGTACATATATTGATGCATTGATTTTGTCCTTATGTTACACTCAGGATGATGAGGAAGAAGGTGAAGAAGGAGAAGAAGAGGGCTTGAGTAAATGTATAGGGAAGGAGTTGAAGAAGCTTCTGCAGTGTCATAGCCATTGTAAATAATTTATGTAAAAGTTTATAAACAATTTATGTATCTCTCTACTATTTTGGTGAATGTATTATTTGAATATAATGAGATTTGATATTGGAATATAATTAGATTGTGTTGGATATGAATATAATTTTTGTTGTTCAATATTATGTACATGTACTAAAAAAAAAAAACCTACTGTAGCAAAGCATTCTAGACGAAAATTCCGTCTAGGATGCTCAAATTCCGTCTAGGATACTTGCTTTTTTGAAAAAAAATTTAAAAAAAATTAAAAAACATCCTAGACGGAAATTCCGTCTAGGATGACTATCCTAGACGGAAATTTCCGTCTAGGATACTCATTCTAGACGGAAATTTTTTTCGTCTAGGATGTAGTATTCTAGACGGAAATTCCGTCTAGAATAATCCGTCTAGGACGTATTATAGACGGTTTTTAAATCCGTCTAGAATAATCCGTCTAGAATGTATTCTAGACGGAATTTCCGTCTAGAATACTACATCCTAGACGGAAATATACTAGATGCGTATTCTAGACGGAATTTCGTCTAGGATACGCATTCTAGACGGAATTCTAGGTATCCTAGACGAAATTTTCCGTCTAGAATGCCTCATTATTTAGTAGTGGAAGGATGTTAACATACAATTATGTATAGATTATAGTGAGTTGAACAAGGTCACTTCCCGGATCAGGTATCCACTATCAAGGATTTATGACTTGTTCGACTAGTTGCGGGTAGTGCAATATTTTTCGAAGATTGATCTTCGTTCTGATTATTTTTAGTTGCGAGTGCGGGGAATGGATATTCCCAAAACCACCTATTTGACTCGATATGGGTCTTTCAAGTTTCTTGTCATGTCATTTGGGCTGACCAATGCACCCGTTAGTGAACCGGGTTTTCTGTCCATGTTTGGACCAGCTTGTGGTTGTTTTATCGATGACATCCTTATCTGTTCAAGATTAGAGGTAGAGCACAAGCAACATATTCGTTTGGCATTGAGGTCAAGTTTTTGGCCATATTATCAGCAAGGAGGGTATTGTAGTGGATCCAGCTAAAGTGAAAGCAGTAATTGATTGGGAACAACAGAAGACAGTTATAGAGATTCGTAATTTTTTAGGTTTGCCCAACTATTACAGGAAGTTCATTCAAGACTTCTCAAAGATTGCGACACCATTTATACGTCTTACTCATAAGGGTGTACAGTTTGTTTGGGGGCACGGAGTGCCATGAAGCCTTTGAGACTCTAAGGTGAAATTAAATACAACATCAGTAATGGTTATTCCAAGCAGTGATAAAATATTTATCGTCTACACGGATGCATAGTTAGCGGGTCTAGGAGGTGTTTTGATGCAGACCCAGAGAGTATTGGCTTATATTTCGTGAAAGTTGAGACACATCGTACCAGATACACAGGGCATCAAGGAACAACAAAAATGTACAAGAATCTAAAGAGCTATTTTTGGAGGAGCTTCTAGGATTCGTTCGGTAGCCAGTTGCGGTATTCTAGTATTCTCCAACCGCATACAGATGGATAAATAGAAAAAAGTGAACTGAGTATTAGAGGACATGTTGCGAGCATGTGTTATTGACTTTCATGGTAGTCGGGAGGACAACATTCTTTTGATTTAGTTGATTATAACAACAGTTATCAAGAAACTATTGGCATGACACCGTATGAGGTATTATACATGAGGCCTTATAGATTACCTATTTGTTGGGCAGAATCAGAGGACAGCCTATTATTTGTATCATAACTTGCGAGATAGACTATGAAGAAGATAGTAGAAATTTGGGAGCGCATTCTTGTAGCGCAGAGTAGACTGAAGAGTTACGCTGATTAGAGGTGACGATCGTTAGAGTTCCAGGTTGGGGACTGTGTATTATTGAAAGTATCACCAACGAAGGGAGTCTAGCATTTTAGTATATGGGGAAAAGCTTGCCCTGAAGTATTTTAGTCCTTTCAGAATTGTTGAGCGTATTGGAACTATTTCGTATCGGCTAGATCTTCCAACATTGATGGGTTAGGATTACCAACATAAAGTTGGTCATACCCAAACTGGTTGGCAAACCGAGAAGGCATATAGGGCTCTATAACACATTTCTCCCTTAGGCGTAAGACCAAGTAACCCACTCTAATTGTGAGGAGTCATTTGAAGATGCTCTCATCCAAAGATGAGAACCCCTCAAAACCCACATCTGTAAAGCTTGTGCCCTCCTCTTCAGCCCCATCAAAATTAGGGGAACAATAGAAAATTTTGTAACTGTCCCCTTGGGACAAGAGCTGTCGAGCCCAAATTATGTAAGTGTTGGTCCACGTGGCCGACTCGAGCCTACACAAATAGAATAGAAGCTTGCTATCGTTGGCGATCCCTATTATCAATTGAGGGTAATGCAACATGAACCGGGCCACCAAGTATGTATACGATATTGGTACACGGGATTGGGGAGTTTTGTAAACTTTCTTCCCAGCAACATTTATCTCTTGGACGTCAACAAATTTAGAAGTCAATGTCTATAGGCCACTCTGTATACAGCCTACTGTCACGTCCCGCTTCCCAAAATACCCGGGAACCGGAACGTGAACAAGCCTGTGACGTATTAGATTGAGAAGAAATATACACAATTATTTTTTTCTCTTTTATTTTCTTCTCAATCCAATACGCTAAGCGTCTAGAAATAAATACGATGCGAAGTCACAGGTCCCCGATCACAATCAGCAAGAATATAATGAACAACACGGAATAACATAATACATATCATAAATGGAATAACATCCGAGACATAATAATATAGTTCAAACGTACCCTTATACAAAACTATCTAAATGAAATAATAATATAGTTCAAACGTACCCTTATACAAAACTATCTAAATGAAGTACTGAAGAATATAAAATACACTGATCAAATGGAAATGGAAGGTAGTTATACAAAACTATCTAAATGAAGTACTGAAGAATATAAAATACACTGATCAAATGGAAATGGAAGGTAGTATAAAAGAAAACGGATGACCAATAACTAAGCTTCAGCTTCTTCTGCTCCGTCTGCAGGGCACTCCTGCTGAGAATCCTCTGCCTCCTGATGATCTCCCAGCTGAACCTGTTCTTCATCTAAGTCTGACATACACCAGACAAAACAGGTGTACGTCAGCGTGTATGGCACACGGCAAGACCCGACCTCACAAAGAAAATAGAACGAACAGAAATCCAATGCGAAAAACGATACGATAACAGAAACAACAAAAGAACGTACAACTGAAATCCACAAATCAACATGAAAACACTACTAAATCATGAGCACATAAAACATCCAAAATCGATTAGGTAACGATTCATGCAGCTAGCGATCAGACTAATCATCCAAGTCACAAGGGCATACACTAGATGAAATTAATACTTAAAAATCTACAACAAGAGACGTAGTACGTCGAGCGAAATAATACAAACAAGGAATCCCTCATGTATATACCACATGTCTCAAATTATAGATAATTAAATATTAACCCCGATCTATGTATGAAAAAAAACACAACTGGCCTACATCTCATAAGAATCATACTTAGCTAAGAATCGAGGTCATGTAACTAACCATCCTATCTCAACTCACTGGTCCACATCTCACATAGAGTTAACACTCATATCATCGGATAACTGACTGTTCATAAATCCTCTACGTGCACCCAATACGCCGCTACACTAGATCGGTCAGAGGGCTACACGCAATCCGATTCCGGCCTTGTTCGAACTCAAGCAAGAATCAGGTGAATATCAAGCTCACGGACCAAAGTGGCTACACCGGCTCCACTTTGACCCAACAAACCAGCCCCAAGCTACACTGGATCATGGGGAGGCCTGGAAGATACATCAACAGCCTTATCCGATCACATGAACATGGACTTTCCCATCCCAACTCTCTTGTATTTTCTAAATCAACCATATTCCTCATTGAAACTCGGGTTCACCACCTAAACTCAGTCAACACATCCACACATGTCACTAAGTCTGTTCATGACGCACGAGGCCACTAAGTCATGAAGTGTTAGAGGTTCTCAAGCACATTAGGAAACAATAAGTACAACCAATCATGCGCAACGATATCATGGCATATCACATAATTAAAATGAGAATCACACCTTCAAAAAAAATAATCCTTTAAATTAATAAATTTATTTACTTCAAAATGATTTCCTTATCCAAAATAAATCCTTTATTTCTTGTTATAATTATCCAAAAATAATTTCATTTTCCAAAATATCTCCATTTAAATAATTCTAAAAACATTCTTTAAATATTCTTTTTAATATTTCCTCTTACAAAATAAATTTTTTTCTAATTATAATTAATCTAAAATAATTCCCTTTTCAAAATAAATTCCTTTAATTTATTTATAATTATTCTAAAAATATTCTTCTTCCAAGATAGTTTCTTTTAAATTATTATAATTATCTAAAATGATTCCGTTCTCAAAATAAATTCTTTTTAAATTAGCATAATCATCTCAAAATAATTCTGATACCAAAATAACTTCTTTTAAGATTATAATCATTATGAAATTGTTATTTATCAGATTATCATGATTTATCTAATATTATTCATCAATAATTCACGCAGGTAACCGCAATATCCTAGTTATAACTAATCATATCACAGCACAGATAATTCGCAACAGATCCAGAAATTGAATTGACGAGTCAAAGGGAAGCGGGATCTTGCCTCGGTGTCGAACGGATCGACGTCGACGTTGGCGGCGTGGGTCCAAACTAACCCGGGATCTGCGTGGAGGCACGGGCGGTGACAGATCTGAATTGTGACCTGGCGAGACGGGAGGGGATGGGCAGGGCAACGAGCGACGGTGGCGTCGGAGGGACTTCAAGCGAGGGGATGGAGGGCGACCTGGTTGCGTTCAAGGAGGCGGAGGAGATGGGGCAGCGACGGTGTGGAAACGGACTGCTGGGGGTGCTGCGCGGGTGCTGGAGCGCCTGTGCGGGCTTGCTGGCGAGGTGGTTGGTAGGCGTTGTTCGATGGCTGGCCGGAAACGGATCTTGGCGGGGTTGGCGGC